TGATATGCTAGGCAGTATGTGATTTATGTGTTTATGTATTAGCATGATATATGGTAGTAGTAGGGGGTGAAATAGTCCCCGATACCGGTCGAAAGGGCCGAAGGGGTAGGTCAGCACCCTGATATGCTAGGTAGTTACCGGTTGAAAGAAACCAAAGGGGTAGGCCAACACCCTGATATGCTAGGCGGTATGTGTATTGTATGGTATGTGGTATGATGGGGGAACTCACTAAGCTTCATGCTTACGGTTTACAGTTTTGGTTTCAGGTACCTCTTCTTCAAAGGGAAAGGAGCCGACATGACTGCAGCGCATCACACACACGATTTTCTGCACATGAGATTCTTGGGATTTGTACTCTTAACATTATTTTCCTGTGATATGTTTTTGAGATATTAACTTATGGTTTTTCATGATATGAGATAACATTGATGGCGTTTTCAGTAATATGTTTTATGAATCTTTAAATTAAAAATGAAATTTTTTGTCTTAAATTTTGGGATGTTGCACCGCGCCTAGGCGTGCCACGCCCTGCCTATGTGGCAGATCCTCATTCGTCCACGTGTCACAATCCGGCGGTGCCACGTGTCACTCATCCGTGGTGCCACGTGTCACGATCTCGACGGTCAGAATTTAATATTTTTCTAAATTTCATAACTTTTTCATACAAGCTCCGCTTTTGACGGTTTTTATATCTACGTGTAGCTATCGACGAGTACTATAACTTTCATATATACTCCATTGGCTAATTCTCATTTTATTTTTCGTATTTCGGCTCGAGGAGGCTTAGGCTATAAATAACGCTGCGAAAATCATAACTTCTTCATATGAACTTCGTTTTCTACTGTCTTTATATCCCTGACTTTGTATCGACGATTAGTACAACTTTTATTTAGATTCTATCGGCTAATTCTCATTCTATTTTAATTTTATAGGTCTCAATAGATTCCGCTTGGGTTTCGAAACTTAGGGACCAAGTTTTGCTTATATCCTTCATATACGAGCTCCGTTCTTGAAGGTCTTTATATAGATGAATTCGTATTTACAAGATCTTTAACACCCGTTTACATTGTTTTGGCTAACAATCAACCAATTTTGATTTCAATTTTTGTGTCGCACTCGAAACTTTTGAAAAATCATAACTTATTCATACAAAATCTTGGCGTTCTTTATATTGGCGAACTCCTATTGACAAGCACTTAGACTTTCATTTACATTACTTTGGCTAAAAGGCAACCTATCTCCGATTCACTTTTTATGACGCATCTTGTCGTATTGGTTTGAATGCGAAACTTAGATAAATCATAACTTCCTCATACGAAGTTAGATTTGGACGTTTTTTTATATCAACGGGATCACCGTAACGACTACTACAACTTTCGTTAAGGTTATTTATCTAAAATAATCTTTTATTTTATCGCTTAACAACAATTTTATATTAAAGTTTTCTACAAATATTCTATACTCCTAATAATTGTCCACTTAATGTGTATACGATAATTATTTATTATCTCATAACATATATGAAGAACAATTATTTTAATTAACGATTTCAGTCGTTCGATAAAATGTATAATTACTACGATTATACTCTAAACGTCTAGCCCAAAATTGTGGGTGTTACACAACTCCAAACATGATGTTATCATACTTTTTGGAAACTATATTCGGTTTTCCACAACTTTGTTCCTTTGGTGATTTTCTTTAATTCAGACCATAATGGCCTCTACAGCCCTCGCAATACAGGTCACAAATTTGTCTAGATTTCTAGTTTTGCCAAACATCACCAAACCGCACACACAAATCATGACTAACACCTACATGACTTCTAATGATTTGAAAGTAGATATGAATGGTAAGAAAGTGATTTATACCTCAGTAAAAAATATGAGATGACTCAAAGAGAATTTCTTGAAGGAAAGAACTCTAAGAACACCAAAAATGCTATAATCTTCACTTCTTCACAAGATTCACCCACTCTCTTCATAAATGGAAAGCACACTTAGGAACATCTCTCAAAGTGAGATGGAGGCTGGAAATAGGGTTTGTTGGCTGCAAATGTGATGTTAATCCTGGATTTTAGGGTTAGGTGTCCTTAAATACCACACAAGTTACAAACTAGACCCTCCAAGTGTATGAAAATGACCCCATGACCCATATACATGATCAAAGATTGTTTTTTTACACTTTTGGTCCCCATAACTTGACGATAACAAGATAAAGTTATGATTTAATGGAAAACATAACGTAACTAACCTTGATGACAAGATTAGGAAAATCAGGTCGATACAATTTGCACAATTAGGACTATTGTTTATATTTTAAATTTATCTTTTTTTTGGTCTTGTAATGTTTTTTTTATTTTTATTTTTATTTTTAATTTAAATGTTATGGTTAATTTAAATATTATGTTTTATTTAAATAACATGTTTTATAAAATTATATTTGTTTTTATAATTATTAAAAAAAGAAACTCGTAAAAAATCAAAAAATAAATGAGAACATAAAAATGATTTGGTGTTATAACATGATGACCATTTTCTATAATGATGTTATAACACGATGAGCGATGTGGCATGTGAGGTGACATTTTTTTAGCGTTATAACATCATGTCCATACCCACTAGTCTTATATACGTTGTCACAAACTCGGATCTGGGTAACCCGCCCCGGATCTTTGCCCCATACAATGTTATTTATGTATTTTTTTTTTAAGTTTTGGCCAACTTATAATTTTAGTTTGGGATGCATTCCTTAAAAAATTATTCTTTAACTTTTTTCAAGTTTATTTTTATGAAACTGTTTTAATAAAATTTTGGCCAACTTATAACTTGGTCTCTATATAAAAATACTTTTACTAAAATCTTTTTTTACAACTTTACTTTTTATGAAACTGTTTTAATAAAATTATTTTTTTATAGTATTTAATACTTTTGGTTTTTGTATGTTTTTATTTTTATTTTTCAGTTGTTACAAATTATATTTTATATATTAAAATGAACATGGAGCTGTAAGACCATGATGAATACATATTACGATAATATTACGGACATCGTGGTCCACTTGTCAACAACTATTAACCAAGAACACCATTCCGGTGATTAGTGGTTGCTAGTGATAGTGCTCTTTTGTGGTGGGAGCAGGGACCACCACATCCAACTAGATTCTTTCTCTCTTTAACTCTCTCCACCTCTCTTTATATTTGAAGTAATAAAAAATATTTTTTTATTTAAATAATTAAAAAATAAGAGAGATATAGTGACGTGGAGTGGTGAGTATACCAACCTTTAGTGCTTGTTTTTGGCGATGAGATTATAGTGATGCAACACTCACCATATTTGTGGTTAGTGGTAGGCAGTCATGATAACCTAATAACATCTAAAACATCTTTTTATTTTATTTTTTTCTTTTACATATTTGTTTTCCATAAGCAATAATAAACTCTTATATATAGTTAAATGTAATATCATCGCATATTATACATCATCTATTATACATACATCAAAGGGCTTCTAGCCCAGCGATATCACATGTGATGTCTTCTCTCTTTGAGGTTGATGGTTCAAGTCCCGTCGTGAGCATATGTAAAATTAAAAAGTAGTTTATGAGTAAATTAGATTTGGTTAAAAAAAATCTATTATACATAAAAAAAACCAAAAAAAAAACGTATTCCATATACAAAAAAAGGATAATGACTTAAAACGGTAGTATATTTCTCGATTTGTACGCATTTGGTCACTGAGTTTTTTTTGTCCACATTTGCCCATTTAAATTGTGTAACTGTACACATTCAGTCCTTATGACCGGCTATTTCAGGTAATTCGGAAAAAATGACTTAATAGGGTAATATATTTCTCACTTTATACACATTTAGTCCTTCATTTTTTTTTTTTGCACATTTAGACCTTAATATTTTTTTATTGCAAAATGTATTTGCTGTTTTTGTACACATTCAGTACTTATGAACGGTTTTTTTAGATTTTTCTCACGACATCCAACATAGTACAATCATTAATTCAGTGTTTGGGGTTGTTCATACCACTGCGGTCTTGATTGCTTGGTGCTTAGGTCTTGTGTTATGAACGACGTAACTTCTTCATACGATCTCAGATTTTAAAATATATTACTTTTTAATGGGAGTAATCTAAACGAAAGTTGTAGTAGACTCAAATACGAACTTCTGGATATAAAAATCGTTAAAATCTGAGATCGTATGAAGAAGTTACAACGTTCATTTTACAACAAATACGAACGTGTGGATATAAAGATCGTTAAAATCTAAGATCGTATGGAGAAATTATGACATTCAGAACATAAGACCTAAGCAACTAAGCGACTGAGGTCGTGGTGGCCATATACATGAACAACCCCGAACACCTCATTAATGATTGTCCCATGTAGGATGCCGTGAGAAAACCTAAAGAAATTGGTCATAATTATTGAATGTGTACAAAAACAACAAAGACTTATTTTATAAAAAAAAAATATTAAAGACTAAACGTGCAAAGAAAATATTAAAGACTAAATATGTACTAAGTGAGAAATATATTACATTATTAAGTCATTTTTTTCGGTTTATCTGGAATAAATGGTCATAAAAACTAAAAGTATACATTTATAAAAATCCAATAAGAAAATATTATAAAAATCAAAAATATATTAACGTTTTCCATATATTACCCTTTTCCATACAAAAAAATATCCTGGTGTTTATTTCAATTTAGCTTAAAACAAGGTGGTATCTGCTTTGCTGTGTCGCATGTGTAATGGCACTTTGGGGGTTGAAGGGTCAAGGTCAAAGCATTATTCAGAGGGCAAAGGCTGCATGCCTACGAATCTATGAATCATCTGTCTGTCTGCTACTTTCATCATCGATGTGGCGAATGAATGATTCGCCACAGTGTCACCCCGACACGTGATCATACTTGGTAAAGCTAAAACAAAGGCACGTGGATTGGCTATGTCATCTTCGATTCTCTTCAACCACCATTATCACCATACAACTTGCAAACCCCTAAATCTCATTATCCCCTGCTTCACGTTACACTACTCCCACGAAAACGTAGATTCTGCTCTTCGATTATATATAACTTAAAAAGAGAGAAATGACGGATAAACTGGCTGACGGTGACGCTGGTGGTGATTGGTCGATGACGGATGGTATTGACTGTGACGGTGGTGGCGATTGGTCGTCGATGAAGGATGGTATTGAAGGTGATGATGGTTGTGGGCCGACGATGAGAAGAAATGATGCAAAGAGTTTGAGAGAGATGCAGTTGTCGATAGCGGCGTCGTCTTCGGTGTTTCCAGGGTTCAGATTTTCGCCGACTGACGATGAGTTGATTTCGTATTACTTGAAGAAGAAGCTCCAGGGATCTGATAATTGCGTTGATATCATTCCGGAGGTCGATTTCTGCCGACATGAGCCATGGGATTTACCTGGTTAGTGCTTCCTTCCTGCTAACTTGATCTCGATTTCATTTTATGAAATTCCGAAGCACTGTATTTTACCGCCAATTTTGCACTACTATTGTTCTAAAGCCCTAATTTGTTCAATCATGTCATCATTTCTGTACAAAAACATGTCTTATGATCTTATTCTTATGTACATATTGTCTCTAATTATGGTCACATATTCATCTTCTGTGAAATATCAATTAGATATGCGTGCAAATTACAAACAAGAGGGATTGGATTATCTTTAACATGAACAACTTATTTTAGGTTGTCGCACCCCTTTAAGAATGCTACATTTAGCCTATATGACACATATTCTTTTGTACCTTTCTTGCAAGTCCAAATTTGGTCTTCCTATATCTTAATCTTGGTAGAAGGCTTTGCTTGTTTTCTACTCCTCTATATGACTTATAAGTTTTGAATACAACAACCTCGAATATAAGTTCTAAAGTTCATAAAGAACTAAAATAAGAAGTTTAAAACTCATATTTTTATGTTTCAATTCAGATGCCATAATGAATAGAAAGTCAATAGATTTATAATCAACTTCAAAACATTAACATATATTCATATGCATTCCTCTCATGATTCAAGTAACCAATAGTCCATATAAGTATAACCCCTAAAATTTATTAATAAAGACATAGTATATACATTTTATAATTTATACTACATAATGCCACTACTTAGTGGTAATCATATAGTTTTCATCATGTACACACTACTTAATTTATGATTTTATGTTATGTTTTGGCAATGATATTAGTTATATATTGTCCACTGATTTTAGAACGTGCTCAATTGAATTTGATAGTAACTTGTTGTCACTAGCTATTTCCATTATTCAATCGGATAATGAGTGGTTCTTCTTTTCGACCCGAGGAAAGAAGTATCCAAACGGGTCACAAAGTAAACGGGCTACCCAATCTGGATACTGGAAAGCCACTGGAAAAGAACGAAATGTAAAATCAGGTGCGGTTACAATTGGCACTAAACGGACACTGGTTTTTCACATGGGTCGCGCTCCCAAAGGAGAAAGAACCGAATGGATCATGCATGAATATTGTATGAATGATGCTGCACAGGTAGAGATTATTATAATCAAATATATAATTCAACATTTTTATTTTCCTGTTCAATGTGGTCCCATTTGTAGCAAACCAGATTGATGTCAATCAATGACAGAGCCATGGTCAAATCAAAGTAAAGGGACAGCACAAATTTTTTTTGGGCACTTGGCCACTTGGGCTTAACAAGTTTGTACCACTTATTGGGCTAGTTTGTATTTGCATTTACAAACTAAATTTTTTAAGGGTACCCCAGGGTATCACCACAACATAAAACAAAATTTTTAGAAAAAAATTACACTACTGAAAAATATTTGAGGGCATCCCGGGCTCTACATTGGATCCGCCTATGATGTCAATAAGAAAAAAATTGATTTTTTTTTTTGGTATTTCTTGCGTTTAACCCGTTGATAGCAATGTCGTCCATATACAAAACAATTTTTAGTAGTGTAATTTGGTAGATTTTTCAAACTACAATCTTCTAATAAGAAGAGATGAAAGTAGGACGCTATAATAAGCACACATCATTGGAAGTAAGTACATTGCATGTTATTTCTTACAATTAACTAATGAATCTTGATTTTGTAGGAATCTCTAGTTGTTTGTCGACTTCGTAGAAATAGTGATTTCCGATTAAATGAATCATCAAGAGGCTCTTCTGATAATAAAAGTCACTCGGGTACAACAAACGAATATGCTAATAATAACCAAATGGACGGGTTTCATGACACAAACGACACTATAAAGTCCGCTTCAAAAGAATCCACAAGCAGTTACAGGTCTCATTCAGACGACCAGAATGGTTCCGGATCAGAATCTGATCCGGAAGCCAATCCCGAGTCGCCACATGGCTCTTCCACTCCATATAAGGTTTCATTTCTCTTATTCAATTCAACACCATAATTGGTGTAAAAATGATGTAAACACCAACTTTGGTGTTAAAGTTTAATGTATCATCATTTATGGTTATTCAAGTTTTTAGTATCATTAAGATAATGGTAAATTCTATGGATTTAGTTTACATAAAAGTTTAATATATTTTTTATTTTTTAAAGGATGTCGACGACTGTTTTGCGGATATAATCAACGATGACATCATCCAACTTGATGAATCCACATCACACTCTCTCAAATTATACGGCTTCCTCACAAAAGATCAACCAATGTTAACCCAAGATCCAACAAAATGCAATAAAAAACTACCACCACAAACCACCATGTCCTCTCAAGGAACCGCGGTTCGAAGAATCAAACTGAGACGTCAAAAGGGTCGAACCCATGAACCACCACCGGCTGACGACGGTCTAGACCAGCACCACCACCCAAAGACGCCGCCATTGGAGAAGAAATCATCAGGGTGTCTTGTTAGTGTATTGTCTGGCAATGCGGATACTCTAATGGGGTCACGTGCAACACATGTGATTTTGGTTTTGTTGTTTTTGGTGTTGGTGTTGGTGGTTTGGAAAGGTAAAAATATGGAAGTTTGGAAGGCACAGCTAAAGCATTGGCTTCGTATGACTGCTCATTATATGTAAAATATAAAAGGTTTGTATGTGTTGTGTTTGTGGGTGTATATATAGAAGGTTTTTTATATTATGGTGTAAACTTAGTGGTGGATCATGTGGATTTCCCCCTATATAGACGATTACACGTTTCTTGGACACCTGGTTATGTATACGATCGATGGTTATGTATTTATTTATTTATTTGTAAATTTTTAAATAACCGATTGTTTTTTGGTATTTTTGGTTCTTTCTTATTATAGCGTAAAATATAATCATATAAGTTTTGATAAATTATTCTTTTTCTGCATAAAAGTAGTTTCTTGCTATTAAAAAAAAATACATATGCTTATTTATCGAGCAACATTCATCGAGTATTGCTCATCAAGTTTTGGGTATTGTGCAGTTAAAAAGTTTTTCGATTAGGGCTCCATGTGAGTGCGGTTTCCGAGTGTATTTTATTAGGCTGTTCAGTGTGGACTCGTGAATGAACTCGGTGACTTTGACGAACATTGGGCAGAGGCCTCGGCATGCCGCCGAGCTCGGCTCGACAGCTCGGCCATGGTTTACTGATGAGAGAGAGTGAATCGTTGGTATTTTTTTACCCATTTATTACTCAAATTCCATTTTTCAAAAATTACATTCTTTCCAAAAAAATACTCAATTTAAAAGGTATAACCGTTGTTTTTTTTCAAATTTCAAAATTTAAACCTTCAAACTTCAACTATAAATACCTCATCCTTATTCACTTTTCACCCCATTCAAATCTCCTTAATTCTATTATCTTAACTTTTTTATTTTTCCATAATTTTCTACACCTCATCACTAAAACTGGCTATTGTTTGGTCGAGTGAAAAATAGATCTTACTTGTTTGTTCATGGATTGATATAGCATAAGTTCCAACCCACAATGACAGCCGTGCGACTACTATATTATATGGAGGAGAGTCGCCGACATATACAACCGCCAAGCCTTTGAACCTCGAAGAAAAGATCTACTCTACGTCAAATGGAGAAACGCACACGCACTCGCAACTCGGTTTGCCATTGTGTTTCGTAGGGTGATGCATGAAGCCGGAAATGGTGAAAAGAAAATACTTTGCCAGAGAATGCTCTTGAGGCTTACCGTATTGAAACTGACAAAGATTTCAAGCTTGTTGAGTTTTGACAAATTGTGAGGCAGAGCCCCAAATGACATTAAATTTGAAGTCTTTGTCTTCTAGTTTCTAGTGGGTTGTGTGTTTGAATTTCTAGTGTGATGTTTCTGCATATCTAGTGGTCTTTTGATGTTTTTAATTTCTATGTTTTTTTTTCTATGTTTTTTTAATGGAATTTAAGTTTTTAAAAAAATAATATGTTTGCAATATTTATAATCTAAATTATTAAAAAAAATATTTAGCATGACAAGTGTGACAACCTACACCATGCAAATGACAAGTTTTGGTTAAAGTGTGGCAAAAATGATGTGACGCCTACGTGGACCGCAACAAGTGTGACACCACACCCACTAGCTTTAGAGCATCCTATGAGTGTGCTGTTTTTTTTTTTGGTTCATGATTCAATGGAATTTCTTCTGCCGACACCGTTTAGATTGCGACTTGATCCGTGTAGAAATTTGAAAATGATTAAGGATGGTCAAGAAAGAAATTTGAGGTTCTGTTACTATATATGGAAGATTATGCTCTACTTTTGGGATACAAAAAGGGTTGTGCTATAAGTACCCCCTTAACCAATTTTACCCCCCCCCCCCCCTAACATCAATCAAATCAACTTTTTACTTTTGATTTAACATTATTTTTTTCTTTTTCTTTTTTTTTCCATTTTGTTTTTGATTTTTTTTCCTTTTATTTTATATTTTAATATTATTATTACTATTATTATTATTATTATTAGTTCAATAATAAAAAAAAATTCGGACAACATTTTAAATTTCGGATGACATTTTAAAATTCGGTAAACATTATAAATTCGCACGACATTATAAAATTCGAACGACTTTTTTGTCCGTAATTAAAAAATATAAAAAAATATTTAAAACCCGATTTTATATAGCCGTTTGAATTTATAATGTCGTCCGAATGTTAAAATTTTGTGTGAAATTTATAATAATAATAATAATAATAATAATAATAATTAAAAACAACAAAAAAACAAAATAGAAAAAAACAAAAAAAAAAAAAAACAAAAGACAAAAAATCAAATCAGGGGGTGGAATTGGAAAAGGAATGAGTACTTATAGAAAACCCCATACAAAAATTCAGATGTACCCATTGTCACTTTCAGGGAGACAAGAAAGACTAGTAAATGTTGTTATCTTCTGCCTCCAAATGAGTCATCAGAGGTTTCATTGATTAGGTGCTTCAGACAAGAGTCTTGTCTGATTTAACTAATAATTAGATTTTTTTGTCTTTAATTTAAGTAATAATTAGATTTTCTAATATTAAATCATACACAATCCCTAAAGTTTTTATACTATTACATGACTAAGTTCACTTGCCTAAGTTGTGTAGCAGTTCAGTTCTTGTAGAATAATTTTATAAATTTAAAACCCGACTAAATATAACACATCAAGTTTCTGACATCGTTGTCGGGAAATAATTTCATGTAGTTTAGATTATTTGGTTATTGGTTTTAGACTTTGTATTTTATTTGGGTTGTTTAAATTTTTATTTTATTTTTGTTATTCTCCATATGATGTGCTCTTTGTAGTTTTAGATTCTTGCAGATTTTAAGCCTTGCAATCAGATAAGTGCGTGGTGGCGTTTCACAAGGAGCAGGATTGGAGTTGAAACCGAAAAAAAACCCCCGGAGAGAGCATAAACAAGAGATGTTAAGTGTCTTATCCACACAGTTCAAGTCCAATTTATTTTGCAAAACGAAGATGTCGCTGTTCACTTTACATGACACGTACCTAGCTAGTATGTATTGTGTAGTATTTTTAAATCACAAATGAATTTCCGAAATTCGATTTCTACAACATGGATGTTCATAAGTCATGACGCGTAATTGTCTCTGTTCATAGAATTTTTTTTCTTTCAATATTTACACGAAACGTACACCTAAGACACAACAAGTTTCCAATTTGAGTATAAAAGTTAAACATTCCATCATTTTTAAAATGACAACTCACGTTCTTCAATGGTTACCCACCAACAATTAGATTCGATCTCATCACTACTATCTCATGGGAGTCTAGTCATTTTTCTCCCTTTTACTAATTTTAATTGTGCATGAAATGAGGGCATTGTATGAATTAAGTGTGGAGTATAAAGTTGAAATTTAGGAATTGTATGATAGTTGACATTTGGGCCTAAATTAATATATAATATATATTTAAGTTATGAACAATTGATTTGTAGTGATGTTATATTTTGCTGATATGTTTATTATTTTTGGCTTTATTATGTTTTATTCCTTTTGATTTATAATTAGTTATTTGTTGGTTTGAAGATTACAATATGCAATAAAATTTGATTGAAAAATAAGTTGAGTCAAATTTCCAAGTTATGTGATGTTTGAGTCTTAATTGTTAAGTCTTAGTTAAATATTAAATAAGTACAGTTCATAAGTGGAGTCATATGTGAATGTGAAGTTCTGTTTAAAGCCCCAGGGATGTTACATATACTCCACTTGACGCATAATGACTCACATCATGATGGGACAAACTCCATTACACAGACTTCATCGAAAGTCGTGGACTCTACTGGTGGTCTTTGAGGCTTCGAGAACCTCAATGAGTTTCATAAAAAGTCACGAAATATAGTAAATAGATATTAATGAAGTTGTTTAAGTGGAGTTTGTTTGTATGCTTATGTGAAGAGTCATAAAAAAATATATAAAATATAAAAAAATGATAATAGAGAAAAGATAAAAAAAAAAAAAAAAAAAAACAAGCAAAAAAAGAGTGGAAACAAATAAATAGTTATATATAGGGTATTTAGTATATAGTATTTTTTGTGATTTTAGTTGTGTCATTTGGAAATTTGGTAATAAATTTGAAGACTTGGTAGTTTTTGAATGGTATATTTCTATAGTATGCAAAAATGAGTGAATTTCAAGTTGATGGGTAGTTTCTTATGATGATAAAGAATATTTGAAACCTGTAAGTTAAAAAGGACCAACAGACAAATGTATGTTTGATCTATATATAATTGATGACTTTGCTTTAAGTTGTTCTTTTTGGCTTTGATGGGTAATACTATATTGGATTTGATGTTGAGGATGAATTGCAATTTTGGCATGAATAGCTTCTAGTTTGTTTGAGGACAAGCAAAATCTAAGTGTGGGGTATTTTGATATCTCTTATTTTATACATATATTTTGTGAGATATCTTATTATTTTGAGTTGTGTTTTGATGCTTATATAGATAAAATATAGTTATAAATGCTTGGAATTGCTATTTTACAAATTAAATGAGTTGCGAGAAAAAGAACCAAATTGGAGGTGTAAGGAATAAAGATGCAAAAGTCGCTAAAAAGTGTTGAAATAAGGTGCATGCGTCGTGTAGATGGAGTGCACGCGTCGTGTTTGATGGGCGGTGAAATTCTCTATAAATATGCCTCTTAACTTTAACCTAATGCAAAAATTCTGATCAAACACATCTTATACCACATCTTGGTTGACAAGAAACCTCAGAAAAACCATTTAGAGAGTTTATAAGGTGTTTGGAAGGCTGATTTGAAGCGAGAATATGAAGGATCAAGAACAAAATCATGAGGAAATTCGTTTGGTTTGGTTTTCTGAACATGTTTAGCATTCCATTTTGTTTTCTTTTTGTTTTCTACTTCTAATTGGGGCTTAGAACCCTTTTGCTGATGTGTATATTAGAAAAAACCTTGCTTTATGGTCTGATTGTTATTTGGATTTCATAATTTATTTAATTTATTCACTACTAAAAAAACACGTCTTTTTCCAAGGGACAATTTCCTCGGAAATTCCTAAGAAACCGGCATTTCCGAGGAAATACCAAGGAAAAGTTGTGCATAGGTAAAACCCTCAAACATTTTGTGAGGGATTTCCGAGGAACTTTCCGACGCATTTCCTAGGAATTGATTTTTGTCGGAAGTCCCGAGGCGTTTCTTAGACAAATCTTTTGTTGGTATTACCGAGGGTTTTCCTAGGAAATTTATTTCCGAGGAATCTCTAGGAAAGATTTCCGATGAATTTCCTAGGAAAGTATTTCCGAGGAATTTGCTAGAACTGTATTTTCGAGAAATTTCCTTATACCATTCTTTTGTTGACAGTTTTTCGTGACACTTTTTGTGACAGAATGTTCCTAGGAATTTCCGAGGAACTTCTGAGAAATTGTGCAGCTATAAAAAAAAATAAAAAAGCGCAAAAAAAAGCCTAAAATGCAGAAAATAAAACTAATACAAATAACAAAATTATGTTATAAATTGGTACACAAAAACAATAAACATAAATCTAAAATTCCTACAAATGTTTACACATTAGAACACAAGGTTTAACAATCGTAAACCAAAACCATAATATAGAAGTCTTAAAAACTTACAAACGTTTACAACAAATAATCTAAGGAGCATTCGACCATTTCCGCATTTTGTTTTTCCATTTGTTGTCTTTCGGCCATTTCGCCATTTTGTCGGGCCAATTCGACATGCGCTCGTTCCAACTCCCGAACCTAACAAAACGTTAAAAAAAACACACATACATTAGTAACATAAAAAAATAGTAAAAGCAAAGTATATATTAAAATTTTTATCCATTATAGTAACATACATTTTACAATCAATTCATAAGGGAAATTCAGACTCTAATATTGTAACCTATAAAAAGAACAAAAAACAATCGATTCATAGACAAACATATAATGATATACATACCTACACACACAAACACATATCTATAAGGATCCTGGAATAAAAAATCAAATTAATCAATCAAAAGTGTTATTTTATTTCATGATTGGTCCAGGGATAAATAGATCAATAAAAAATTAACTTGGAGTTGGATTCAACCATCTAATTAACAAAACAATAAAGAAATAAGGACCAAAACTGACTTTGATGCCAATACAATAAAGAAAACTGACTTGGTCCCCTTTCCTTAACAAAAAAAGGACATTAATATAAAATTAGAAATTATATAATCAAAGAAACCAAATCACAACTTTTGGTAGCGATTCTTAAGAGTTGTAATGTTTAAATAAATTCTATGTTCAATTTCTTATCTAGAAAATCTCTACCATATAAAATCAGTATGAAAATTCACAAACCAATATCAATGCAAACTAATTTTTACAAATAAATAATACCCTTTTTAAAAGCAGGTTAATAATAATCCGTGGCTCCACACCTCTCGCCACCAAATTCACCGGAGGCCACCATGGTATCCAACTCTATCACCGACCCACTATCTCCTTCATATCTTGAAGGGCCACTACAAACGCAAACACAAACATAATTGACAAATTAGACATCAGTTTGCCGAAATTGTCTCAACATAATAATCTTTTTTGGTAAAATAATATCCAGTATTTCAATCAACATTTCATTGAGTTTTCACTTGATTCTTCTGCTCTACCTGATAAAAATTCAAAGAACATAGAAAATTGAATCTAGGGTGAGTAAAAAAGACATAAATGCTAGAATGTTAAATACTAAAATGCATATGTTACTTATATAAACCGAAGTAGATCCAAGACAACTTTCCTTTGAGGCATGCTTGTGATGGTTCCCTGGATATCAAAATATTGGATATCAAAATATTAAAACCAGGTTACCAGATTTTTTTAAATGATAAAGAAATCTATTATTGTTAAATCACTTGTATTGGCTTCCCAAAGCTAAAACGTCCAATTTTTTAGTATTCAAGAACGGTAGTAAAGAGATATAAGGAGAAAAAAATTAAATATACTTACAATAGAAAGGTAAAAGGCATACATACATATATGAGTTTCGTTACTTTCGAAACCTGAATTAATCAGGGTTTTAGTTCCCTTCCAAGCACATCGATCTGGGTGGCTTTCATTCTTTCCAAGCTCCGATCAACAAAAACATGAGCAAATGGTGTTTACCTCAGATTATAAGAAAGGAATAGATGGAGGACAACTTTGGTTATGAAGGGTTTTAGAGAGAAGGAGAAGGGAAAGACGGAAGAACGATCAGAAATTCCAAGCCCCATCCGATTAGGGTTTTAGTTCCTTTGAAAGCACCAACCACATCGATTAGGGTCAAATGGAGATGCAACAATTGTCGGCAGAGGGTATGCGACACCGGCGGATGAGCGCCGACAACTTCCAGTGGTACGACAGTGGCGCTAAGTCGCTGGATTTGAGTGGACAGGTGAGTAAAGCAGAAGCGGCAGAAAAGGATTTTAGGGTCTGCGTCTTGAACGAGTCTTGAACAAACAAGAACTGGTTTAAACTTAATTGGAGTTTTCCTCGGAATGGTGTAGGAAAAGAACGTCCTCGGAAAACCCTCGCAAAATTAATGTATTTTCATTTTTTACATATATTCTTATTTTTATTAATAAATATCAAATATTTTAGGTGTGTATAAGATAGTGAGATCAAAGTATTCAATATATAACAAATTTTGACAAAATATGGAACAAAAAAGGCGACATTTAAACCTCAAAAAAAGAAAAAATAAAAAATTTCCTAGGAAATCCCTCGGAAACTCCTATACATTTCCTACGGATTAGCGACGGATTTTTATGTGCGTAAGAAATCCCTCGGAAATTTCTACACATTTCCTAGGGATTTCCAACAACTAGAATTTCTTTTTTGGTTTCTCAAGGCTCAAACATCATCCTTTTCGGTTCATTTTTTGTACAATTTCATTATACATGAATTATACTAATCTTACCAATTTATACCATATATACGCATACATACATGTGTGTACTACTGGAAACCATTATGTAAAACATGTTTATCTTGTTATACTGTATGTATATGTATATGTGTATGTATATGTTTAGGTGTGTATAAGATAGTGAGATCAAAGTATTCAATATATGACAAAGTTTAAAAAAAATATGGAACAAAAAAGGCGACGTTTAAACCTCAAAAAATGAAAAAATAAAAAATTTCCTAGGAAATCCCTCGAAAATTCCTATACATTTCCTACGGATTAGCGACGGATTTTTATGTGCGTTGGAAATTCCTCGGAAATTTCTACATATTTTCTAGGGATTTCCAACAAATAAAATTTCTTTTTTTGGTTTTTCAAGGCTTAAACATCATCCTTTTCGGTTCATTTCTTGTACAATTTCATTATACATGAATTATACTAATCTTACCATTATACCATATATACACATACATACATGTGTGTGTACTACTGGAAACCATTATGTAAAACATGTTTATCTTGTTATACTATGTGTATGTATATGTGTATGTGTATGTTTAGGTGTGTATAAGATAGTGAGATCAAAGTATTAACTATATAAGAAAGTTTGACAAAATATGGAACAAAAAAGGCGACGTTTAAACCTCAAAAAATGAAAAAATAAAAATTCCTGAGGAAATCCCTCGGAAATTTCTACACATTTCCTTCGGATTCCAACATTTTTTTTTCTTTTTCAAGGTTCAAACATCGTCTTTTTCGGTAAATATTTTGTTCAGTTTCATTATACATGAATTACATTAATTTCACCAACTTATATATAGATTAATAAAATAGTGCTTTGGCTAATGTGTGTGTGTCTATATATATATATATATATATATATATATATATATATATATATATATATATTATATATATATATATATATATATATATATTATATATATATATATATATATATATAATGTTTTTATGAATTTTCGAGGAAAACTAACTAATCTACATAATTATATGGACTGATATAATAATGGGTTGGATCCGATTTCGAAAGGCGGTGGATGTAATTTCTTTTATTAAACACGGAATTTTTTTTAAATTAAACCTAATATTTGCTAGGAATTTGCGAGGAAATGCCTAAAATAAATGTTTTCCTCAGAAATGCGTAGGAAGTTCCGAGGGTTTTTCGAGGAAAACTAACTAATCTAGATAATTATATGGATTGAAATAATAATGGGTTGGATCATATTTTCGAAAGGTGGTGGATGTAATTTTTTTATTAAACACACAAAAAAAATTAATTAAACCTAACACTTACTAGGAATTTGGGAGAAAATGCCTAAAATAAATGTTTTCCTCGGAGATGCGTAGAAACTTCCGAGGGTTTTCCTAGGAACGGTCAAGTTTTTGACCATTCTAGGAATGTCCTAGGAAGTGAGTAAGAAATTCCGAGGAACTTCCGAGGAAAATTATTTTACAGAATTCTAGAAAATCCCTTGGAAATGCGTAGGAACTTCCGAGGAAAAAAGTTCCTAGGAAAATTTCGTAGGAAGAGGAGCCTTTTTCTAGTAGTGATTGTGTTTGTTTGATCAAATATCCATATATGTTAAAGATTATAACTTTATTGCTTATTGTTGAGTTTCTGTAGTTAGAGGACCAATCTAAATATGTTTTCTTGAATCATAGTTGTTTTATGACCATTGAAACTATTATGAATCGTGATTTACCAAATTATAGGGTTAGCTAGTAAAGTAATGAACTTTGATGTGTGTGATTGCATTATATGACCATTCTATGCTTTAATTGATTGTCATAACCATTGGATATTAATTACCCGATCAAATCATGCATGATACGAACTAAATACTGATTTTGAGGATTAATTAATTGCATGACCATTTTGTTAATTATGTTCATCATCATTAGAATTAGAATCTGACCAAGAAACTAACCAATCTAGGAATTGGTAAATAATAAGTAATATCCATTGCACGACATAGAAATCAACCATAATTGAAAAATATAATCGAGTCTAGGTAGAAGTGCATTTAGTATTCTGTTTTCCAATCAGGTATAATACAGTTGCGGTAAACACCCCCCCCCTCAATTAAAATTTTTCGTTTCGATTAATCTTATATCAGTCATACTTTTTCCATGAAAGTACGACAACCTTATTTATTGCAACTATACTATACTTGATCAAGTTCATTGCATGTGTAAGGGTTGGTTAAGATGTGTGAGATAAATGTTTTATAAATTTCAAACTTAAATATTTTTAGTATAAACATCTCACATTAAGTTTTGGGCGCCGTTGCCAGGGAGTAGTTTTATTGATATCAGATTACTTTAATTTTGTAAACTATTTAGTAGGTTTTTATTTTCTTTTTTTAGCCAGTTAGTCGATTGTATGAATTTACGTCATTCACGACGTGAAAACTAGTATATTGCGACGCGATTATCAATGATTTCAGATTCTTTTTTATTTTTGTATTGTTCAGTTTTTCACTTGTTTTGTTTTGTTTTTATATTTTTAGTAACAGTGAATGACCAAAGGATCCAGTTCTAGCTTCGCTTCCCCATTCGAAGAACCCGAATGCGAATTGCATATGAGACAAAAAAAAGCTGAATTAGAAAAAGAAGAGGATCACTTATCGGAACAAAGCTATCACATACCATAGGAGGACCATATTGATCGAGAAAACATGATGGGCGCACTCACTTTGGAAGAATATGTTATTAGGACAAGAGAAGGCACCAACACAAGATTGGTCAGACCAATATTTACACCCGCAACAAATTTCGAATTGAAAGACCAATTCCTTAACATGCTAAAAGAGACTTCATTCTTCGGTAAGGATGACGAAGATGCCAACAAACATATCGATGAAGTTCTACAGATAGCATACTACTTCAACATTTTGGGGATATCAAGAGACACACTGATGCTATGAGTGTTACAAATTACAATCAAAGATGCATCGAAGAGTTAGGTTAAATCACTACCGGAAGGATCAATTACGACACAGAATGCACTAAAGGCAAAGTTTTTGCAACTATTCAACCCTCCCTCACGGATTGCCAAGATGAAAGCAAAAATTCTAAGTTTTCAACAAATAGAAGGGGGAAACATTGTTCGAAGCTTGGGATCGATACAAGACTATGTTGTTAAATTGTCCACACCATGACCTCAATGCGCATCTGTAACGTCTCAAAAATTACCATTTAAAATTTTATTTTTAAACTAACAGAAAAATCATTCATTCATTCCAAAATCCATAAAAATGTGATAATGTATAAAATAATTATCAGAGTACAAATCATTTCATAAAATTCAGAATGCTGGTGGATGTGGTGATGCCAGACTCTTCCCTTTCGAGCCAGAAGTACCTGAAACCATAAACATAAAACTGTAAGCACAAAGCTTAGTGAGTTTCCCCAAAATACCACAAACCAAACATACATAACAGCTCGAAACTAAAATCGGTCTATTTCACCCCCTTCGGTATCTTTCAACCGATGTTGGGTCTATTTCACCCCTTCGATATCTTTCAACCAGTACTGGGTCTATTTTACCCCCCTTCGGTATCTTTCAACCGATACTGGGTCTATTTCACCCCTACAACTAAGCATAAAATCATATCATCAAAAGTCACAAAGACAACAAGCATATATAGGAATATCAAAAAATGTCACAAAGACAACTATCATCCTACAAACGTAATCTAGTGGGCCGATATTGGTGCCTTCGATCCGCTTATACAGTGAAGAGACTCACCTAACAAACGATGATCAACTGCTAATGCTCCTACTTCCGTGAATATAAGTGCTATCAACCACATATATAGCCGTACAAAGTATTGATGAGTTTTGAGCATTCTAACACTCCTATGGTGTGTATGCAACCCTAGAAACCTTGGATGTATGTTTTCTCTATTATACATGCAGACTTTCTTTTTCCAAGGTTTCATCCTAACTAGCATGTGATTGGGGTACATATAATATAAAAACTAGTAGGATGACATACCTTTTCTTGTGGTTGATTGCTTGGAGCTTTAAGAGCCTAGCACCAATAATGTGAATGCCTCAAGTGGAATCACATATCACCAAAACACCTTGGAAGACTTTGAGAGAATATGATACACTCTTGAAATCGGCCCACCATTGTTATCTCACACACTAGTGCCAATTTTAAGTGCCAAAGACCTCTTTATATAGTATGGTGGATTAGGGTTACATCCATGTAACCCTAATACCCATGACCTTTCATTTCCATAGGATTCCAGGGGGTAAAAAGCTCCATGGACTTCCATGCAAGCTTAGCCCATCCTAAAATGACATGGCCCAGTCTATATAATAAAGGTCCATATAATTAGTTTCTTTTATCACTAAATTAATTCCAAATTAATTCTTGATCAATACTAATTAAATAATATGATTTCATATGAATATATTATAACTTATAATATATTAATAAATCATAAATATACTATTCTCAAAAGACTACCCATATAAATTGTTCCGGTGAAGTGCAACGCAAATGGACCATGCCGGGTCGG